CTGGGGGCCGTTCTCCAAAGTGAAGCCCCAGGTGCTGGTGACCGAAACGGAACAGGAGTGCAGTGTGGCGTGGGTATGTGCTGTGTGCCTACAGGTGGCCAGAACGGTGCTCAGAGAGGGAATCAGTCAATGTGACAGGGGCAGGGGATTGCCTTAGACAGCATGCTAGTCATTGTGATAGGGAGAGGGGATCGCCTTAGAGAGCCTGTGTGCGTTCTTTGTGCCAGTGGACTAGAGGCATGAAAAAGAAGGAAGAAAGGGGTCGGCCTTCAGAGAGGAAGGAACAGCAAAGCAAAGGCAAAGGGCCATGAATGACGGTACAGGAGACTGAAGAAACCTTCCTGGAGGAGGGCCTTGGAGGTCAAGCAGGTGTAGAGATGCGATATCAAGGACTGAGGCTGAGCGGCAGCTCCGGCCCCAGAGGGAGCTAGTCACTGAATCGGCTGGGAGAGCAAGTCCCTGGCCTGTGCAGGGAGTCAAAGGTGGGGGACCCAGGCGCCATTGTTTCCGAGTCAAGTGGAGGCGGAGCGGGTGGGAGAGCTTCCTTCAGGTCTGAACCTACTCAGCCCCGTCCATCCAGACAGCACTGAGCGGTGCTCTTCTGGAGTCCCCTGTGGATGCTCAGGGCCTGGGAGCGGGGCATTGTACCTGCTTAATATTCTCCATGAAAACAGGCATATCTGATATTTAGGTGTACTTTAATGGACACTGAAAAGAAATTAGGTTGATTCATTTGAAGAGTGAATGTCTCTCCCCACCCCTTACACGGTGAAATTCTTAAATGCTCTCACTTAATGGAAATGAAAATTACCTCTCAAAACATTACCAAAAGTAATCATAGCAATTTTCATGCATTTTCACAATTTACCGAGCTGCCTTTTCTCTTGCTTTGATGAGCAATGACTAGCAAATGCCTGCTTGTGCCTAATCACTTGATGCAGACTCAATAAGCCTGACCTTCCTCCCTCCTCCGAGTCCGACTTCAGCGCTCACACACCTAAGTGGGGAGATGAAACCTCCAGCAGGAGGAGATGCAAGAGCTAGTAAGTAGCACCGTTTTGGTGGAAGGAAATCACCAAGGCTAAGTACAGCTGACAGGTATTCACGGACACGAACATGGCAATTGTCCAGAACTCAGAAGAAAAGAGAAAACAAATCTGTGAAGCCACAGAATGTGAGAAGCCTTTGGACCAAACAGAATCACATTTTTCATTTCTTACTTCTGGGTTTTTCCCCCTGGAATATCTTAACCCTCACATTTTAATTGGCCATCTTCACCTCTCCATCCCTCAGGTCTAGTACTTTGGCTTGTGGGGGGCATCTGGAATGTTCTGGAAGAGGGAAAGGATGCCCTGGCCTCAGTGAATCATGAGAGGACCACTCTAATGTATACTTATTAGATACAGGCACCAGGCACCATTCTAATGATTTCCTTGCATAATTCATTTGATCCTTAACACACAGACTGAAACGCACCCCCGTGTAAGGTGGCTACCAGAGGACAGACGTATTTAAAAAGAAAACACAAATGTACGACTCTGCCCCCTAACTTATGAGACGACGTGCTGTGTTTGAACAGCGCTGGGTGTAGGTCCCCCACACGCTCTCGTTGCAGTGGGCTGGGCCTGTGAAGCAAGATCAGTGTGCTGAGCACGGTCCAGCACAGCCCCCAAGCCCGGCCCGCAGCTGCCTCCCATCTCCTCTCGGCCCTGTTCTCATCACCCGCCCCACCAGACCTGTGCCCTGACTCTCTCTTCAGGACCAGGGGACGTCCATCATTTGCCACCTCGGCCCAATCACCCTCCACTACCTGGGTCTGCTTACCCGGCCAGGGCTCATTTGAGAGCCAGTCTCAATCTCCACCTCGTACTTGTGTGACACCTCTCTGCTCCTCAGAGACCTCTGAGCTCCTCCAGGGCAGGAAGGCAGCCTCTGGTCCCCAGGGATGTGTGCCCCAGGACCAGCATGTGGCAGAATGCCACCTGTGCTTAGTGGCAACACTTATTCCAGCTAAAGGTTACTGTGAGCTCACTATGCACCAGGCACCATTCTAATGATTTCCTTGCATAATTCATTTGATCCTTAACACACACTGATAAGTGGGTGCCTCCTACCACCCCTTTTCATAGGTGGGGAACCCAAAAAACAAAGTGGTGCAGTGACTTTCTAAATCCACACAGCTGAGAAATGTCAGAAGTAGGGTTTGAACCGGGAAAGCACAGAGCCTGTGGGCCTTGCCACTGCTTGATTCTATCTCTCTAGACACAGAAAGCTTTTTCCATTTCTGTTTTAGAGATAAATGGAACAAAAAAGCCAAATTAGATATTTTGTCCCAAGAGGCCCACTCCACTAATGAGTGTCAAAAACACCATTAGATCCCAAGGGTTTTGACCTTCTGATTCTTTTTCAATCTATCATACTTCATTGTCTCAATACATATTTTTTCTTTTTTTTTTTTTAACTCAGAAATACATACAGGTAATGGAAAACATGCCTGGACGGTTGTATGCAAATGTGACTGCTGAAAAGTCCTCCCATAGCTGTGCACAGAGGGCACCCCAGGAAGCGCTGGGGGATATTTTCCTGTGCTTGAAGGTGAGCTAGCCTCAGAGCTGCTCTGGACCATTCCCAGCTCCCACCCCGCCCACCCCACCCCCCAGGAGAGCTGGACTCTACCACTTTCTCTCGGTGAGCTAAGCCACCATATTAGAGGTTGGACCCCCCGACTGGAGGCGGAGCTCAGCCGTTCCCTTAGGGGGCCCAGCAGCCCAGCTGAGGGATCAGACATGTGAGTGAGGCATGTCTGACATCATGATCTTAGATAATCCATCCTCTGCTGAGATCTCAGCTGAAAGCAGAGCATGAATGACCCCAGCTGTGCCCAGCCAACTCAAAGCAGCAAGAAGAAATCGTTTTAAACCACAGTTTCAGAGGGCTTTATAAGGCAGCAGGATCTAACTGAAGATAATATAATTGGAAAATTCACCTTGAGGAAGGAATCACCAATACCATCTATTCCTCACCCGTGGAGCAATCCCTCTTGTAATTATCACCGGCCTCCGTGTTAGCAATCTTCTCTAAATACTATGCTTGTGCAAAACTCAAGGGCACAACAATTATCACTGTGCCAAAGTAGACCAAAGAGGAAAATAGCCTTTTCCCCTAAATTGCATTCCATTTTTCTTCTTGTGTCTCTGCGCTGCACCACCACAAGCCTGCCTGTACCCAGCCACTTGCCAGGCTCTGCCAGATGCTGGATGCCCAGCAGTCCCCTGGCCCTCGCTGCAGAGCCTGCCAGCCTCACGAGAAGGCTCAGGCCGCTAGGGGAACTCTGCAGAGTCACAGGGAAGAGGGGAGCCCTTGTCACAACCTGGGGGGTTCTTGAGGCCGGCTGGGACGCTAGGTCCACCTGACTCCCAGGCCCCACCTTGCCCCTGAGAACAGGAGCTGGCCTCACACATGGCCACTCACAGATCAGACTGGACACTTACTTTGTGCCAGTTCCTGTCCTAGCACACCGACATTTATAATCTCTGTAAAATGTAAAACATCCTTTTCATTTACAATCTCTAAGAAAAAATGCAGCAGAAGGGAGATGGCAACCCTCATTTTCCAGGTGAGGAGATGAAGCTCACGTTGTCCACGCCTGGGGTCACACAGATAGTTCATGCAGTGTCAGGGTCCAAATCCCCCACACTTGCGGCCAACTCCATGAACCTTCTTCTGGCAGAAACCGGGCCGGGGAGGAGTTGAGACACAAATGGCAGTGCAGGTGGGAACTGCAGGCTTCCTGAGGCACACAGGGCTTGGCAAAGTGGCGGCCACCAGGCCTGGAAGCCTGATGTTGTCCCCAGAGAAGGAGGTGGAAGAGAAAGACACTGTGGAGATGTGATGACCTAACTACCACTTAACGCTCCCCCCTGTCCAGAGTCCTACCAAGGGCAGAGAGTCTCCAGTATCTTTCCAGATCACCTGTTCCCAGTCTCCAGTCAACCTGTTGCCCATAATCACTGGCCTCACTTGTCGCCCTCTGAGTGGTCTAAGCGACCTGCTCTGCCCCACACCTCCCACCTCCTCTGCGGCGGAGCTCAGCGGCCCCCTGCATCTACACCCCCAGCTGTGGTTATTCAGTCGCATGCAATCTTACCCACCAGTCATCATCAACAACAAAGGGGTCTACCTGCCAGGACAATTCCAAAAGCACTTTATGAAGCACACTTATGACCTGAACTCTTGACTCTCCTGGATTTGATTTCTGTAACATTCTTGGCTACCTCTACTTGTATAAAGTTAAGAAGACTTTCCATAGTTACATCTTTTTATCTCCTTACTTTCTCTCCTTCATCCTGAAGTTTTTCTTCTTCTTCTCAAGGTCTGGCCGATCGACACATTCTCCCCAATTTATTAATGTAAATATCCTACTAAAATATAATCTTGATGCCTACTCTTATTTCTTATGTCATCTTAGTGTCTAGCCTTATTTTTTATGTAATACATTCTGTATTTTTGCCTCAACACTTAATTACAACGAACTCATGCTGGGAGCTCTGGACACCCACAGCACCCCGGCCTTCTCCGCTCAGAGCCTGGAGGGCCCTTGGCAGCCCTTCTCCCTGGTCCAGGGGCCCTCGTTCTGCAAAGGAAGAGCGTCCACAGCTGCCTACGCGCTCAGTCCTTTCCGACTGGTCAGTCATTGAATCTGACAACTGGTTTCTTCTTCCCTACCTGCTGGGTGCCACTCCCCATGCTCTTCCTCCCTAACTCGACTTCAGCCAACCTGGTTTATCCCTGGGAGGGTGCGTTTCCTTCAGCCGGATTCCCCTCACAACAAGGCAAACACACGGCCACTCCAACGATGGCTCTCCATTTCCAAAATTCACTCGTCCAACTTTCAACACGATGCACCGAGTGCCTCTCTGCACCAGGCACGCACTTCCCCCTGGCATACATTAAAAGACGCAGGTTTACCAGCCGGGAACAAACTGCCACCTGCTGCTCACCTGTCTGCCCAACAATGGAGGCGCTCAGTCTGTGGGGGATTCTTGAGGACACCTTCAAGGTCACTCGGATCTGGTAATACCTAAGAAAAGAGCAGAGGACAGGCTGGTGAAGATCAAACTTCTTATTGTTGGCTTCTAAAAATACGTAGACTTACTCCTAAAGGCCATAGGGATCCATGGAAGTTTCTAGGTAGCATGCATGCTCATCTGACACCAGAGAGATCCGTTCTGTCAGTACAGTGGGAGAGGGATGTGATGGGCCCAGCTGGAGACAGAATGTTGAGTTCACCAGAGATCGTACGAGACAAAAACAACCAAGAGACATATGCAGTGTTGGCGGTGATGGGAATAGGGCACAGAAACAGATAGGTCATAGAGTACAGGTACATTAAGGGGCGGGACTTTTCCTTAATCAGAAAAGTTCATTTTATAGGAAAATAGGAGCTTTAATGCATGTGAAAAACTCATACATAAATTGAGTCACTATCATGTTGCACCCTCCTTTAGAAACCCAGTAGCTGAGCTGCTAATCCTAACTGAATTTGAAGTTTGCTAAACACCATTTTTCCCAGTGTATTTCGGTGCCCTTATATTTAATATTTCATTCCCATTTCCAAAGTCCATCATTTCAGGACACCGTGCAGGTGGCCATACTGTCAGTAACCTTGCCAACCTGTCCTCTTTTGCCACAAGTGCAGAAGCATTTTTTGAAGTTCTGTGCCTTGCTACCAATAGCCCTTCTGCCTGCAAGCACTTGGGGACATTGCTGGCAGCATCACTGTTCTCCCCCTCCACTGATTTCAAACCCATTGTGAAATGGAATGTGAATAAAACAAAGTAAAAGAGCAGCAAAATGGACCATGAGCATATCGGCGCCCCACAGCTCATTGAGCTCATGGCGGGGATCCGCTGCCCTGTGAACATGCTCATAGATGTTTCCGTGGACAGTCTCGTGTTTGCTTTATGCACATGTGATGAACAGTGGAGACGGAGAGCTAAGACTGGACTCACAGCTATCACTTGGGTGACACCATTTGTGAGCTGTGCGATTCTGAGTACATCACACAAATTCTCTGAACTTGTCTCTGTATCTGCAAAGTGGGGATTTAAAAAATGCACCTGTCATAACTTCTGCTTCCAGGAAAGCTGGACAAGACATACCTCCCTATCCTCTCCACTACACACAACTGAAAACTCTAGACAGTATATAAAAAGTAAACAAAACAATGTCTAAAAGGGCGGAGAAGAAAGCAAAAAAGAGACCTCAAGGCTCAAGGAAAGGCCTGTGGTGAGTTCCCTGCGTTTTCCTTTTGTCTCATAAATCCCAGAGAAGCCAACCACCCAGACATGCGAATGGCTACAGACAACAAAAGTCCCAACAAAAATTCCCGGTTTCCCTAAGGGGCAGCCTAGCGGAACAGAAAGCTTAGGCAATAGTCATCTTACTCTGTTCTATGCCTCATCTGCACCCACACCAGCCAAACTCAAGGGGAAAACTCGACGTCCACCACAGTCAAGCTATAACAAGGCACCTTCCCCACCCGGGAAGAGAAGGGCTTGGGCAGGGAGCCAGATTTTCCCTACTAACGGATGGTGAAAAGAAGCTCACCTACTGTGGTTTAAGTGGAAACCACGTGAGGAGCCTGGATCTCTATCCCCATCCGGTAGGAAGAAGGGCACAAACATGCCTGTGATGTTTGACAGATTCAAAAGCAACTCAATGGAAGTGAGACAGCAATGGAAGTTGAGATGCCTCAACAAATGGTCCCGAAGCAACTAGACATCCATAGGCAAAAATAAGCCAAAACCAAAGACAAATCAAAACAAAATCTCAACTTAAATCTCACGCCTTCTCAAAAAAAACTAACTCAAAATGTGTTATTGACACTAATGAAAAATGTAAGACTATAAAAACTTTAGGAAATAAAATAGAAGAACTCTAGAGCTAAGCAAAGCATTCATAAACTTGACACCAAAAGCAAAGCCCATAAAAAAAATGATAAATTGCACTTCATTAAAATTAAAGACTTTTGTTCTATAAAACATGCTATTAAGAGGATTAAAAGACAAGCTACAGGGTGAGAGAAAATACTTGCAAATCCCATGCAGATGATCCTCATTCCTTACAGATTCCGTGTCTGTGAATTTCCCTACTTGTTAGAGTTTATTTGCAACCTCCCATACAATACTCAGAGCCCACCGGGTCTTTCCCAGGCAGCCTTACAGGGGCAAGACGTGTGAGTCACTGCACAGCATTTCCACCCAAGCTCTAACAAAGCAACACTCTACTGTCTTTTTCAGCTCTCACACTGAGAACAAGTGTCTTTGCAGTCTGTTTAGTGCCATTTTCTGCATTTTGTGTTTTTGGGAGGATGAGGCTCTGTAAAACGGCTCCCATGTACAGCTCAAGTGTGTGTGGTACTCCAAAACGAAGGAAGGCTGGGTATGCCTCACAGAGAAAAAACTGTGTGTTACCTGAGTTTCACTGAGATATGAGTGGCGGTGCCATGAGTTCAATGTTAATGAATTTTAAATATTTATATAATACAGTTCCTTTAAGCAGAAACACACCTAAAGCAAAGTTATGTATTGATCAGTGATGAAAATGTAACGAGAGGCTTCGAGGAACTCGCTGTGTATTTCCCCGAGGAGAAACGGCTCATTATGCAGAGATGGTTGATGACCATCATAAAACCCACAGGAAAACCACAGCAACAAATAACCATGGGCACCTTCACCTGGAGACGGAGACTGGGGCAGAGTGGAAGGTGCCTGCCCTATCCATAGGTGACCCTCTACTTAGCGGTAGCTAATTACCACTGTGCAGAAATGTTGGTTGTGTATTTCTAGATCTTTCAGTGTTTCAGAGGAAGACAGAAATTTGGATTTTTAATAAAACATCTTTAAACTGTTAAATGTCGGTTCATAAATCAAGGACAATGACAACAGCAAAAAAAATAATAAAAATTAGCAGCAACCGCAGCCATGACATTAACAAGCATGGTGCTGACAAGATGAAATGCATTTGCAGGTGAAATCCCCACGGGCCAATAATTGGCAAACTGATTTATGCAAACACAAGATGTTGCTTTTAGTGTTTCTTTAATAAAATACGCATTTCAATAATTTCATCCTCAAAGGGAGAGGTACAAATCCCACCACCACCACCACCATTCAGTTGTAATATTCTAATGGATTCTTCTCTTAACAGAAAACGAGGCAATCATTGCCAGAGGCTATGCCTAACCTTCCTATCAGACTGTGCTTGGAGCAGTTATGGTTATGCTCATGGTTTATTAAGCACCGCTGTGCCAGAACCTGTATCGGGGCCTTCAAGTTGTGCAATTTTGTTCAATTCTCCATAAATTCTCTATGAAAGAAAGTGCCATTTCAGGTGTTAGCCAAAGAACATATTGGGGTACTGGAGACATCTAACTACTTATCCAAAGCAGTTAGGCTGGCAAATGGTAACCAGGATTCTAACTTCAGAGATGAATGTACTTTTTTTTTTTTTGCTTGCTATATACCTCAGAGGAGTCACATTTGCTGCATGAATTAAAGCCCTTTTATAACCAACTGCAAAGCAGTGCCTCAATTCTTGTTACTTAAAAAGCACTTGGTGGTACTAAATCTTACTTCAAGGAATCTTCGTCCTTTTGAACTTCAGATGCTTTATAGGCATATGCTGAAGAAAGAAGTTCCAATTAGTCGGACCCATTTGGGCTCTGTCCTGATTAAACAGCATGCTTGTACCCCTTTAGTAATTCTCTTTTGTCTGACATAAAGTTCCTGCCAGGTCATAAATCCATAAACCGTATTACATACATGATACTGTCTGATCCCTTCAGAAAATCTCTGATGCACTTACCATAATTTCCATTTTAAAGATAAGGAAATTAACCTCTAGGAATGAAGGGATTGGTCCGATTTCACATATTCAGTGAGTAATGTCAGTAAATCTCCAAGAATGACATGATCTCCCATCTGGATAGCCTTTAACCATCTTAGAGCCGCTTTCTTCCAGCTCAAGTCATTCAAGGAAGACACAGTGAGGGAGGGAGCATTTAGCCCACAGCTTTGGAGGGTGAGCCAGTGGTGGGAGAAAGTGTGGGGCTGAGTTCCAGTAGGAAGGAAGGGAGAGACTAAGACAGGAGGTGGAGAGCTGAGAGCGCGTGTGGGCATGTTACAGGAGTCTAGACTCCTTCTGCAAAATAATAATATAAATAGGCAGCCTTTATTGGCTCACAGCTGTGAGTGGCACTGAACAATGCCTTTTACATAATGTGGTAAGCAGAAAAACACCTTTTCCAAAGACATTTACATTGTAATGTTCAGAACCTATGGAAGAAAACTAAGGTTGTGGGTGGAATTAAGGTTGCTAATCATCTGGCCCTGAAATCAGATTATCCTAGGTTGCCTAGGTGCACTCAGTATAATCACAAGGGTCTTCCTAAGGGAAAGAAGGAAGCAGAAGAGAGCGACAGGGTCATGCAATGGGAGAAAGATTCCACCAGCCATTGCTGGCTTTGAAGATGGAAGGGGCCACCCGCCACGGAATGTGGGCAGCCTGTAGGAGCCGGAAAGGGCAAGGAAATGGATTCTCGCCCAGAGCCTCCTCAAGGGAATACAGTCCTACCAACATCTTGATTTTAGCCTAGGGAGACCCATTTCAGATTTCTGAGCTCCAGGATTATTACATAATAAACTTATGTTGTTTTAAACCACTAAGTTTTTTGCATTTTTTACAGTAGTAATAGTAAATTAATGCATATAGGCATTCAGATTTCTTCCTCATGACCAAACTAACAGACAGGAATGATTATCCCCATGTTAACAATATACAAACCTTGACTCAGAGAGGTTAGGTACTTTTCCCATAGTCACACAGGTAGGTAATAGAAGGCTTAGGGATTAAAATGTAGGGACATGAGACTAAAGCCAAGCTCTTACACCTGGGGAGGCAAAGGCAGGTGCTTTAAACTGCACAGGCGCACCTCAGTTTCCCCGTTGCCCTTAACCACCAGGAGCCTGACTGCATCCTCCTTTCCATCGCTAGTTAGGAATGCTACCTTTCACTTCT